TGTTTTTGTTGAAAGAAAACCCTCTTCAATTCTGTTAAGTTTCTACACCCTTCAGGTCCCCATCCTGAAGTGCAAAGGAGTCCAGAAAGGCAGAACATTCTCCAAGAGGGAAATCTTAGATGCAGGAGCAAGCTGTCCCATGTGCCAAAAGGTGGCGAGGAAGAGTGGCCTGGCTGAACAGAGAACCTGGACAGGAACTCAGAGAGAAAAGATTTTGACCTTTGGAATAAAGGTCAGAAATCTCAGAAGAACTAAAAAGATAATGTGAGCTTATGGGGAATACAACTAGAGGGGTCAAAGCACAACCAGAATTTAATCTGACTACTGCCCTAAAAGCAATAAAAATGTTTCTATAAATGCATAACCAGCAAAAGAAGGGCTAAGGATAATCTCCATTCTTTATTGGATGCAGGGGTAAACAGTGACAAAGGACAAGGAAAACATGAGGTGCTTAAAGTGGTTGACAACAAGTTATTCTCCAGCTACTCAGCCCTGTGAATAGGAAGACAGGAATGGGGAGCAGAATGAAGTCACCACAATCCAAGGGGAAATGCCCAGCGACCTGCTCTGCCACTCAGACACACTCAGGTCCATGGGGCCAGGTGGGAGCTGGCAGAGCTGCTCACTGAGCCCCTTTCCACCAGCAGTCCTGGCTAACCAGGAGGGTTAGGGGAAATACAACATCTGTCTACAGGACTGGAAGGAGGATCTGGGAACTGCAGGCCTGTCATCCAGACCTTGGTGCTGGGGAAATTCATGGAGCAGAATTCATGGAGCATCATCCTGATGGCACTGAGGACAACCAGGGGATCAGGCCCACACAGCATGGGTTTGTGACCAACTGGGTCTCCCATCACAAGGTGACCCACTCAAGTGGATTAGGGAAAGCCTGTGGATGTTGTCCACCTGGATCTTAGTCAAGCCTTTGATGTTGTTTCCCACAGCATTCTCCTGGAGAGACTGGATTCCCATGGCTTGGATGAGTGCACTCATCTCTGGGTAAGAAAGTGGCTCAATAGATGGCCCAGAGGGGGGTGAGTGGTGCCACGTCCAGCTGGTGACTCCTCACCTGTGCTGCTCCCAGGGCTCGGCTCTGGAGCCAGTCCTGTTTAATGTCTTCATCAATGATCTGGATGAGGGGATCAAATGCATCCTCAGTCAGATTGCAGACAAGTTGGGTGGAAGTGTTGATCTGCTGGAGGGCAGGAACGCTCTGCAGAGGGATTTGAACAGGCTGGATCCATGTGCCATATGGTTATGAAGAATGTATAAAGACTATTTCCACACGGGAGAGCCTGAATTGGAAAAAATCAAATGAATGCTTGTCCATTAAATCTCAGCAGAATCAGAAGAATAATTAAAACTTCAGCATACTGTAGAGAAGGAGTATGTGGTCATTGGGCTAGGAAGCAAAGTATCTTAATTAACATGGCTAACAACAAGTCATTGTAGCAATGTTTTATTATGAAATCTGTATATTACCAAACCATACCTATCTAAAGTACTCTGACCTTAAGATGATGATATAATTTCTAAAAAACTGTTCTCAGAATCAAGAGCAGAGAGGGAGATGCAAAGATTTTAATTGTTTTTCAAAGTTTTCATCTACAAAAATAGATGCCATTCTGAGCATGAGTGAATGAATGCTGGTGCCCTTCTCCCTTCTAATTAAACACTTCCCACTTCACTTCTGCTCTGCCAGCTCAGACAAAAGTTTGGAAATAACAAAGAAGCAAACAGCAAGAAAATAAAGAGAAATGGAAAGACAGGAGAGGAGATAAACAGTGGTGAAATATATGGGAATCAAAGGCACCAAAGATGCACCCCAGTTTATACCAGGGTGATGTGAGACCCATCAATAAATACCAGTAGAGTCAATGGTGTTTTTCAGAGTGTATCTATATGGACAGAGTAGAAAATTACCTTCTCCTACCTTTTCTTAGCATACTATTTCAGCAAGATCCGTATATGTTCAAAGCAACTTTATATTTCATAAGTTATCATACAGTATTTTCATGCCTTAGACATGGCTTGTAATACTTGGTACCAGCCATAAATTGGATATTGTCAAACACACAAATATCAGAAGTTCCCTGAGCTTCATAATGCTAAAGAAAAGAATATGTATTCTTAAACTTTTCCCTGTAGCTCTACTACTGATCAGTGTCATGGAGAAGATACTGTTCTGACTCTGTGGACATCCTCCTGTGTAATAGATTGCTTGTACTTTAAAATGGAAGAGAAAGATCACTGAGTTTTAAATGTTACAAGCAAATATTTCCTAAGACATTTGCTGTGGGTATTGATTTAATTGTACATGAAATACAAATCCTGGCTGAATTATTGAAGAATAGAAATTATGACTTGATATGAATTCCAAAGTAGAGCTTGCACAGGTCTTAAATGTTCCATCAATTTTAGTTGTGATTTGTTTCAAGGATGGAATCTGATCAAAGCAGGTTGCAGGGTGGATGAGGGAGCTCAAAAACTTAAGTGTTGTCTAATCTTTGAAAGGGTAAATGTAGATTAGACATCACCTAAAGGCTGTGCAGACAGACAGTAGAACTTTCAGATGCATAGCTGCATAGCAATAATTAATTTATTTAGTTCATGACAGTTTTGATCTGAGTTAATGTTAATTGACTCTTGTTATTCCACATAAACTAAAATAGAAACCTGTTGACCAGCCTGTTCTGCTTTTGTTTGCTGTATTTTTAGAGCTCTCAGACATTGTTTCTGATTCATTCACATTAAAACATGAAGTAACAACGTGGTTTATAGTTGGGTTGTTCTTAATACTTAAAAATCAAATAATTTCTGTGCAATTTAAATGTGACTACATTTCAGTAGAGCTTTGAGTTAATTAATCTATGCAAAATGGCATAGTAAATTTTAGCATCTGCCTGTGTCTATTTAAGCAACATAAATAATTTACTGAACTAAAATTTCTTCATGGTTCTCCACTACTATTGTTTAATAAAGGAAATTTAATTACTATGTCATTTTAATCATTATGGAAGACCTTTGTACTTTATAATTCATACATACTTTATTGCAAGTATATGTCAGAGCAAAGTCCAGCAGATAAAGCACAGTGTGAAATAAGGACTATGCAACTTTGCTGCATTTGAGATAGGACATTGGATCTGATTTATTCACCTGGACTTAAGTAGCAGGCAAAGTACAACTGTAGAGAGTGAGCTCATTTGTGTTCTTGGCCAGTCTTCACTGGAAAGAGGTAAGGTGTCTGCCCAGTGCTGTGTTCCTTGGGTACTTTCTTAATAATTTTTAATATCAATTTTTATTCTCGAATTAAATTGATCTTTAAATCAATTCTCAATGTTTATGCATAAATATAAGTGAAGAAAAAAGACTGATATTCAAAAATACTAAAAGAAAGCCAAAACAGTTCCAAAAAAAACCCTCCAGATCCAAGTTCAAATTTCATGAAAATCAGGATTTGGGCTTGTGGGTTAGGGTTTGATTTAAAGTAATTTATAATTTATTAGTTCATAATAGCAACAATAATCAAAGCTTTCAGAGATGATACATGACAGTAGAAAACACAAGTACAGCAGAATTTAAATGCTTAAAGGGAAGCATTGTGCCAAATTTCATAGAATGTAATTTTCCAGTTTATTATGATCCCAATGTCAAATGACCAACTTTGCATAAAATGGCAAATTATATTTTAATTATATTTTAATCTTAAATCATAGTTATTACTGAATAGTTTTAGGTAGAATAGAAAATTCTGGTTTGCTGGCTTTGGGTATGGTAGGCAGAAAAATTAACTCTCAAACCAGAACTTTATTGCAGTGATTTATCTTGGACATTTTTAAAAAAATACACTGAATTTTTTCACTCTGGAAAACTGTTTGCTGAATCTGCTGCTAAGTCATTAGATTTATAAGGAATATGGCTTTGTTGCAACATAAGCCACTGTGGAGAAGGGTGCTGGCCTCTGCAGACTGTGCTGACACTGGCAGGAAATAAACCCTGACCAAAGAGCTTTTTTGGTGGATCTATTTTCTGCCTTCAGCAAAGCCACTGTGGGGAGCCCAGTCCTTAAAAAAAAATTTAAAAGAGCATTAAAAGAGTTTGATTTGAGTCTAAGTAAATATATCCTTTGAGAGCATAGGAATCATTTGTTTACCCAATTCATTCTAAGCTGTTGTTGACAGAAACTCCTCTTCAGAGAATCTGCCTAAGTGAGGACCCCAGGATTTAGTCCAGTAATACCCTGAGCCTTCTTCTGTACTGAATGAAGTATTAATGTACCCCAAAAGATGGATAAAATGAGGCACAAAGCTGTTTCAATTCAGTATACTGAACTTGAGAGTTTTGAAGAGGCTAAAGAAAGTCCTTTTGCTTTGTCTACTGAACTTTTTTTAAAAAATCTAATTGAAACTTGTGACCTGTTACTTCAGGCTGTAGATAGAAATTCACAAAATAGCATAGTTCAGGTTAAGTGAGTTCTCCAGTGCATGGAAACCTTTCCAGCACTAGGAAAGCCTAGTGTCTGAGTACTGTTTGAACTACAGACAGCCAGCAGAGCTAATGTTACTGCTTCTGTCTCTTTGACCATTGATATCTCTATTTCACTATAGTTTGGATTCAGGGAATAAGAAAAATTCAACTCTGATAATTAAAAGTTGTGCTTTTTCTTTAGTCATTACATTACTCTTGATGGCTTTTTGCCACACTCAAAATTGCATTATGTTTCATTGCCTAGCAAGGTGAGAGATGTTCTAAGTGATTCAGCACAGCACTCTGTGTCAGAGAAATGAATGATTTGCAAGAAATGAGACATCAGGAAAGGAGAGATCCTCAAAAATGGGAGAAGCCAACTTTGACAGAGGCTTTCTGTATTGAAGCTCAGTATTTTAAAAGCTTTCTCCTTCAGGACTTTTGCACTAGAAGTCATAAATATTGCCATTTTCAGTTCCAATCTGTGTTTCAGCTCTGTATTGCTGCAGGCGGAGTGACGCAGAAGGAAGATGGGACTGAGGAGCTCAGCAGGACTCGTGCTGCTCTTGCTCTCTCAGTGCACTGTGTCCCTGGGCTCCAAAGAGGCAGTGGTCCTGGCTAATGCCCACCTCCTCCCCCAGAGAGATTATGAGAGACTGGGAAATGCCCATCAGAAAGGTACTCATGAAGGCAGCCAGTGATTTGGACATGTTCTGTGAATTACTTTATTGCTTTGCTGTAACATTTCCAACCAACATGTACCAAAGCTAGCCCTAGAAGAATAATTTGCAATATGAACATGTCCTGCCACAAAGTCCTAAACCTGTCTGTAGAAGCTGTTCTATAATGATCACTGAGAAGGGCAATTGTGAGGTCCACTGTGTGTATTGCTGGCTTGGACATCACCATATAAATTACTTTAATAATCCTTCTATAATATCATGGCATCATATTTGGAGTCAGGTAGGTTATGTCTACCAGGAAAATGTAATTTTTACTGAACTTTTCTCACAGAGATAATAAAATTGTCAAGTTTTTATTAAATACAAATTACAAATATTTTACAGTCTAATGACATAAGGACATGCCTTTCAACTCTATGGAGAAGTGAGTGATTGCAATTCATAAATATATTTCTGAGTAACAGAACAATGAATACCATCCTTCTCTACAAAAGGAATTCTCTCTCTATAAGTACATACATATGTAAATGTATATTTAAATAAATTATGTTCTGGCTCTTAAGAAGCCTGAGAATCAATTGTAAAATTCAGAGCACTGTGCTGCAGTCTCAGAAATGCTTGATATTATACTAGAGCAAGAAGTTTTCTTATAAATATGTTACATTTAAAAACACCAGTAAATATTTTAGCCCAATAGAGAGGGTCAACCCAAGCCTTATATGCCATTTTTATTACCCTCTGAGTTTACTGGATGAGCAATAAAATGGAAAAGCAGTTTCACCCATCTTCCTGATGCTGGTGTTCAGCACTGAACAGAACTGTAGTCCTGACTGCAAATCCATGATAAAATTTAGCCTGGTGTTTGAATGAAAAGAACTCATCCTATGAAAATCCTCAGATGTTTATAAGCTTTATGTTAACAAGAAATATGCTTTAATATCTCCCTTATATCAATGAAAACATGGCATGCATTTCAGAATTTAACACAAGGATATTAGAGGTGCCTGAAGTAGAAATTGGTTCAAGAGAAATTAATTTGTTCATTGAGGAAAATACTAGGTCTAGCTATGAATTGTCCTACAGATGGCACAGGGAATTGCACACTTGCTGAGTACTCAATCTGGAAGAACACTGGTGGAAAAGGAATGTACACAGTTTTTGGCTTTTCAACCACATTTCTGTCATAAATACAAAATCATACTTCTGTTGTATGACAGAGTAACAAACCATTTTTTGAATTTCTGAATATTTCCTGCATGTTCCTCCCAGAAATCTTCCCCCTTTAGCTGAATAAATGGCCAGCAGCTGCAATGAAGTCAGTCAGTTTCCAGTCTAAAGAGAGTCATTCAGTCACTCTACAGACAGAGTTTGATTTCTGAAATTTACTATTTGAACAGAATTTATTTTAATATTTTTGTGTGGGTTTTTTTTTTTTTTTTTTACTCAGACTACCCTAGGGATTGTTTTGAGATTTTAAAGCACTCCAAAGGAAATTCCAGAGATGGCCTTTACATCATCCAACCAAAAGAAGAACCAATTGTTGTCTTTTGTAATATGCAGGATGGTGGCTGGACAGTAATCCAGCATATTACAGCCAACAGCACTGTCGACTTTGACAGGACTTGGCAGGACTACAAATATGGATTTGGCTCTGTTGATGAGAACCACTGGTTAGGAAATGAATACATGCACCAGTTAACTGGCAGCTCAGTGCAATATATACTTGGAGTTAAACTTGTGAATCTAAATGCTGAAGTCAAATGGGGACAGTATGAGCCATTCCTGATTGAGGGGGAGGAGTCTCAGTATCGAATCAGGGTTGGTCTTTACAAAGGCAACGCCACTGATGCTCTGACCCTGGACACAGAAGCTTATCTCCATGACAACCAGAAGTTCACCACCAAGGACAGAGACAATGACAATTACTTTATGAATTGTGCCAAGCTGGAGCTCAATGGCATTCCTGGGGGAGGCTGGTGGTACGATGCCTGTGCTGGGGCAAACCTGAACCGCAGGAATGTGATATACTGGCAAAGAGACTGCAGCAAGCAACAGCCCTGCAAGTTTGCATGGATGATGGTCAAACCCATCGAGCACCACCAGTCATACCCTACCAAGGCCTGCCCCTGTCAGAAAGTTGAACTATAGACAAGCCATGAGTATTTGATAGGAACATGAACTATTTCTCAAGGGACTGAAGTGAACTCACTGACTGAGTAATACCCCTAAGTAACCACAGCTGGAAAGTTAAATTGGGCATCTCTAGGGGCTTTATGTTGACATATTGTCCAGTACTGGGACAAGTCACAGAAATTTTCCGACCACACAAGTGAGAAACTGTCAGAAACTGAGGCCTTTACCACAAGATTTAAATAACCAGAAGATTTAAATAATTAATTTTATACTATTTTAGCCATAAGACAAGTCCGATATGAAATGCAGTATGTGATGTCTTGTACAAGATATACATGAATAAAAATGCATTTCAGAAGGTTTTGTTCTGGTGTCAATGTTCATGATTGATTGCACATCTATAATTGCACATCTTCATATATCGTGCAGGGAGGAAATTTCCAGTTAAATACCTACGTTTACAAAATGCACACTGAAGTGTATTGTGTACCATAGGACTCCAACAGGCCTTTTCTTTCTAACTTTAGTGAATGGTATTTTAATATTTAAAGTTGGAATTAACCTCATGTCCCATGGCTTCTTTCCCCCTTCATTGACTCTTCTTTTATCTCTACTTTTTAATGATCCCATATACAGTGAAGTATTCAGCACAGGCTTTTTTTTCCTGCCTTCATTTCAGAGCACTCAGCACTAATGGGATTGGCAGCTTTCCCATTTAAAGCCCCTGATCCAAAGCTTACAACCCCTCTGAATTTTTCCCCCTGGAAACTCTGTGAATACATTTTTGAAAAGATCAGATTGATATTGCAATTGTTTATTTATTCCTCCATTTTTACCCTGAAGATGACTCCACTTTATTTACCATTTTTTGACTGTTACTTCTCCCTGTTCTAAAAAAGCTTCAGCTTTTTTCTTTTTTTAATACCACTGTGAGAAAAAAAGAGAATGCTGCCTTTATTTCACATTCAATAATTTCAATTGTTTTAGTACTCAACATTAACACCAATTAAACAGTGCCTTTTTTCTAATTATAAAATAAAATACAATTTGATTATAAATTATTCTGTTTTAAAACAATAAACAAAATTATTTAAATTTTTATAACCTTGAAGACCTTGTTACACAGTTCTGTATCATTGGAATAACTGAATGACAACTGAAGAGTTTTTATTGTTGCATTTAGCAAATGTCAGAATAATAATTAGATTATCATGTGTGGTTTTTTAGATATTTCAGCTAAAGAAATTCCATCAACAGATCCTGTCAAATTCCTGCTTTTTAATTTAAAATGCTATTTATAATTTTCACAAAAATTGCTTCAGAAAATAAATTCTATTGTGTCCTGACCAAAACTGTCGTGATTGCTTGAGAAACTATTTTGGAAGCAGAAAAGCCAAGAAAGAAATTTTTAGTTTTCTTGATGCACTGCAGCGTTTTCAGAATGAGATACAACTATGTGATATGGGTGAGGCCAACACAGCATGCATGCCAATTTTGCAGCATCTGGTTTTTTTCCCCCTGAATCTGTGCTCAAAGACAGAAGTGTGATAGGAGAAGAAATGGTTAGTACCTGAACTGAGTTTATATCATTGAGTCAATTTAACGTGGGTTCTGCATAATTCCATCTCTATAATTCTATCATAATTCTATCCAAAGATGTGATGAGGATACAAGAAAATCACCTGAGTGCTGCCAGTCTCACATATTACATTTTGTTAGCTTTTGTTAGAATTCATGGCCATATAGCCAGATGTTCACACACCTTCCAAAAATGCGTTTTAATAACAGTAACATGGAAGCATGGAAGGGAGAGTTCACAGCTGCATCTGACCATCAAAGGCAGGTAACCTGCTCTGCAGCACACCCTGAGCTTGTCTTAGAGGATTTTGGAGGTAAGGACTCTGCAAACAAGCTGTATGAATAACTTGGGCACCAGCAGACCAAACCCAGCTGCCCAGGGCTGAGGGACTCTAGTTAATACTTTAACTAGCCCTACAAACCTATGTATTGAATTCCAGTAAAAAAATTAGATTTAAAATGTAATAAAAACTCATAACAAGATGTCTACTAGCAAAAAACCTGAAGCATTTAATAGAGCTCAGGGACTGAGCTACATTTCACACCTCTAACAGAACTATGGACAGAAATTACCACGGTGGCTGGGTTAGAGACTAACTACTGGATGAAAATAAGTAAGAGTATTCTAGAGCATCCACCAGTGTGGAACCTTTAGAAGTAGACTAAACTTTACTTCATAATTCCCTAGCAAAAGACTATCTTAACTGAACAGATTTTATTTTCTTCTGTTGCTGAACCTTGATCAGCAGATACCCAGAACAATGCTGACAGCATCTGGCCTCCATCACTGGATCAGTGAAATCACAGACTGAAACATGGGGGTTTCTATTCTACCCCTCCTAAGTTCTTTTGCCAATCACATTTCTCCTATAGTTTCTCTCAGCGTTTCCTGATTTTACTGCCTCCTGCACTATGGGAAAGAAGGAGAGTCTTCCCAGAAGTAGATGTGGAAACAAATTTATTTGGTCAAATAAATAGCCTTCCAAAATGAGTAAGTATGACAAGATCTAGAGCAGAAGGTTCCAGCTCTAAGCACCTGTGAATGGGAGGCATGTTCCACTTCACCATGCAATCTCCTAACAATAGCAGTGAAATAGTTTTTTTCACCTCTCCTACTTTGCATTTCTCTGCATTTGTACTGTCAACTGCAGGAAATGTAAGCACACTCTCACATCCAATACCACATTAATCAATTCAGAATTTGTTCACTATTTGTCTTTTAAAATAATTCAGTTTTCATATGAGAAAGTGCTTGCTTTTGTTTCTGACTTTACAGACTTCCAGGTAACCTTATTTTTTATGTATAACCATAGATTTAAAATATGACAGAGTGGTTTTAGGGGCTAACTGACTCATGTTGTTAATTTATTGATGCAATACGCTGTATCAAAAAATTGACAACGTTAGCTCTATGGCCTGATTTTCTCCTACTAGAATTAACAAGCAGTCCTTTAGTCACTCCCATGTCTTTTGTGTTTCAGAAGGCATCAGGCCACAGTCAGAGTGGGGGGCTACAGAGCTGAATCCAGCTGTGTTCCACAGCTGGAATCCTCCACTGTACCCTCTCTCCACTCTTCCTCCTATAGCCACCTGATGAATTGCACACTAAAGGAGGCCTTATGGACAGCACACACTAAAAACAACTATCTGACCTCCACTATGTCTAGGTTGCTGCTGCATGTAAGGATTAAAAGATATTTCAGCCTCTATCTCGGCATGTTAACCAGGAATTCAGTAAGAGCCTCCCCAGCTTAAGAGGTCTACTGAAACAGAAGCCATCAGCAACCAGGGTCTGGAGGAGGACCTTGCTGAGAAGAAAACTTCTGAAGGATTTGAAATGTTTGGTTTATTTGAGGAGGACTAACTTCGGTGTATCAGCAGATACATGAAGAAACTAGTGACATTTAGTGACCAATGGCAAAAATACTGAGTAAAAGGCAGTGTTTTTACTGAGTGTAACAAAGACTGAATTCCTTAATAGTAAAAAAATACATTTACCAAGATGGAAAAAACAATTGTAACACCATCCCTTTCTGAAACCACTAGTAAGCATAGATTATCTCCTGTTTCACAACATGATGTTATCAATTTTAAATTGTTTTAACTACTTATGGGGTAGCTATTAATAAAATCATAAACAAGAAGCTTATTAAAGCTCAAGATTTTATGACAATTGTCAAATGTTTGTGTAAGAATATTTCTTAGGGAGTTCAAAAGGCAGTAATGGAGATTTGGGGGAGACCACATAAGAAACACAGTGGCCTCTTACTGACTTGCTGGGGGTGAAGCCAAGTAGTGAAGTGAAAAAACACCGTATCATTTTCTAGAGTTAAGGTTTAGCCTGTGTTTCAAAACAGAGAAGCCACTGACTACTCAGCAGCTGCAGGAGCATTACATTTATTTACACACATAAATCATATTTACAAAAAATGAATGTTGGTTGATAAATTATGGGGATCTGGAATATGTAGGGGTGCTGGCATATATGAAAAGGAAGAGACCAAAGTCATACCCCTGTTTTGTGGGAAAATTCAATACTTTAAAATATAAAAGGCACTGGGTCTCTGAAAAGCTTAGTTAGGGATGTGTATTTATGCATCTATATTGACAATACATACATATCTATATAGATGTATGTGTATGAAATTATGTGAAACCAAAATGTAGTTTTACAAAAAGCATTTCATTAGTCCATGACAATAATCAATTACAGGATCAGTAAAAATGTCATTAAAAGGACAGATAACAAGATAACAAGATTGTCTTACACTGCAGAAGTCCTACAACACTTCTTAAAAAGGTACAAAGTACAATCAAGTACTAACAGATACTCTGATGAGGACCACATTTGTCCTTTTGAGGTTTTGATTTTTTTTTAAGAATAAGCATCCTACATAACAATAAAGTAACGCACACCTCTTCATATAATTCTTGATATTTACAATGTACTCATGTGTGGCCATGTAATCTCTCACATGGTTAGGTGCTAGCAGCATAATTTGTGCACATATTTCACAATTACATTGAACCAACATTGTTGCATCCATCACTGTGTATTCTAATACATTTACTGAGCAGAGAGTCCATAAACATTTACAGAACATTCTTGATTAACAGACTTCAAAACCAACAAAAAATAGTCCATTTAATTCCAGTAAGAGCCAATGCTTCATTTCAGCAATAACAGTGCAACTAGCATGAACTGTTACTGCCTCATAAATTTTGTCTTTAAGTACAGCTTGTGCCCCCAGAGAGACACATTCATTTGCTAAAAATTAAACATAGTTTACTGAATGGCTGGTCTGATGTAATATAAAATAAACCCACTCTAACAACTAATTTGTACAAAGTTACTGTACACAGAAAAAGCTCTGGACAGTGACAGAACAAAGCTGATGAAAGAGTTTTTATAAAGACCTCTGCTTTCCTTTCATAAG